TAGGATTGATTATTGTAACTCGCTCTACTATGGTCTTCCTGACTCTATACTCTATCCTTTAAGTAAAGCTTTTAACTCTGCTGCTCGTCTAGTTGCTCGTGCCCCTTTCTTTTCTCATATATCTCCATATCTTGTTCTCTTGCACTGGCTACCTATAAAATATAGAATAATTTTTAAAATTTGCACGTTCATGTATAAGTCTCAATCTAAATTATTTCCTAAGTACTTATCAGATATATTAATTGAACCTAAACGCCCCGGTTTACGATCGTCTTCTTCTTCTCGCTTTTTCTTAACTCGTGTTAAACACTCTTTTGCCAAATCTGCTTTTGCTTTTTCTGGTCCTTTTCTCTGGAACTCTCTACCTACTTCTCTAACTATTTCTCCATCACTTGCGAAGTTCAGAGCGGATCTCAAGACCCATCTGTTTTCAAAATTCATTGAGGAGCGCTGTTGAACATCGCGGAAATAGCGCTTTATAAGCTAATTGATTGATTGATTGATTGAAATAAAATTGTAAAGCAAAAATTTTAAGTTAGAAATTTTTACCCGGAGTCGGAATAAAAAAATTTTAAATGAAGGATTCGGAGGCACCTCGCAATTGAGATTCAAGTTTATCGAGAGTTCATTTGACCTGAGTTTTATTGTTTGAGAGTGTTTATTATTCAAATTTTTGTTGAGCCATACAAATCGAAGCATGGCAACTTTTACATTAACAAGTAATGATAATAATAACTTTGGAGTGGAAAATGTTTTGAAATTTCCAACGTCTGCATCGTTCTGCAACGAAATGAACCACATTCACACTGATTGGATTCAGCTCACTCACTGAGAAACATTTTTAAATAATGGTACATAACATTGGTTAGATAGATTTTGAACAACATTTATTTTAGTTTTGTTGTGATTATTGGGTGAACTCCATTTTCAACTGATAAGGATAGTTTGTAACTTGTTCAGTATAAAATTTATATAAGCGCACGTTAATCGTAAACTGTACAGAGACGACATTTACAAGACGTCGCATTAAGTTAACGTTGTTTGCGTACGCTCCAAAGTTTTGTTTATGCCAAACCCATACTAGAAAATACAGGTTGTAATAATTTTTCAGTGCTGATATTTTGGCTGAAAAAATGGGAGATTTGAGAGTTAGTTTTTCGGAAATATATCATGAAATTCGAGAAAATGTTTCTTCTATTAACGGTTCGAGGTATGGATTTTCGTTCCTGTCATACATAAAACGTTGGATTCCTGATATACGGTTTTCGTGCAATGACGAATGCTCCAACATGTACGACATTGTGCTAAATTATTTATGGGAAATGATATATATCGATGAATGGAACAACGTCTGCTTGTCGTTATGTGGTTTATACGCCAATTACGTTAGTCTTAAATGTGTAAATGAACTGAGATATCACAATTCCAGAGACGGTCCTTTGAGTATTTGGGAATTGAAAAATTTAATGAAGCTGTGCGACTTGGGACTAATATTTGGCTGCCTACGGCGTGAAAGTGTGTTAGCTAAATTGGCAACAGATGTACATCAACATATTTCCATCTTCTACAACATTTCGCCACAAAATGAGGAACCACAATATATGAGGATCAGACCTACACAGAACAAATGTGTTCAGATATTGGACAGCCCAACTGAGGGGTATTTCAGGTTAGCGCCGTCTTCATTAGCATGTATTTCATTATTCAACGTCGAATGACGATACAATAGTATATACAAATAATACATACTTCTCATTAAGTTTTGATTAATTAAAAAAAATTTTATGTACTCTCAACCTCGAAGATTGTAAACATGTTATGCCGCAATTTAGTTAATTTTACCATTCCAATTTTTCCAACATGAATGAACCTCTGCAGGGAAACGGTAATGAAAGATGGAAATCCAGTTATAATAAAGAGTTGCATGCAAGACTGGCCTGCAATGAGCACGCGCAAGTGGAGTTTAAGATATCTGAAGAAAGTAGCTGGTTGGAGAACAGTGCCCGTGCAGCTGAATGAAACATACACTCATGATCCAAGGAAGAAACAATTCATGTCCATCAGCAAGTTCATCGATTGGTGGGTCATTTTGGAAAGTTTCTGCTTAGAAAGTTAAAATTAAAAATTATTTTAATTTTCAGTTTCATCAATAAAGAAAATAATAAGAAAGGATACATAACTCAACACCCACTGTTTGAACAAGTTGATAGACTCTGGCAGGATATACAGCTTCCAATCTACTGCAAATCTTGGGTGAAACCAAACTCAGACGTGAAAATCTTGACTTGGTTCGGACCGGCTAATTCAAGATCGCCACTACGCAGGGATGGGATTGATCTGCTCTTCTGTCAGGTCAGGTTTCGCAAATTTACATTTTTTTTGTATGGTTTGATTGGATGCAGAATTGAAATTATGTTAGACGATGAAATTTTTTAAATGTTTCCAGTTCATTTTTTGATTGATGAAATGAAAAGTTTTTATTATGAAGCTTGAATTTTAATTTTGTAGTTTTGATTAAATATATGTGACAATATCACACCTAAGCTAACGCTAGCAGTTGAATTTTTCAATTAAACAGGTAATTGGCCAGAAGCGCTTGAAACTTTACAGCCCTGAATTTTCAGATAAAATGCCACAAGAAAACGACTTTTCAAAGAAAAAAAAAGAACGATTGAAACCTTATGAGACATGCCCGAACTTTGATAAGATTCCATTCAAAACGGTACTGTTGGGCGAAGGTGACATGTTGTACATTCCAGCAATGTACTGGTTCACGGAGGAGTCACTGACCACCAGCTTCTCCGTCACCTTCCATCCATCAGATTAATTACATTTACGTTTGCTAACAATAGTTTGTTAAGTTGTACACAAACAAGCATTAAGGAATAAGTTATTAGTAAAAGATCATTTTATTTTCTCATTTTACCTCATGATTTATTTTATTACCTTGTATGGCTTAACTGTTTGGTACATTTTGAACTGAAGTTATAGCAACAGTGATATTAATACAGTAAACATGTTTAGAGCAGGCTGATGTTTTTTTAACAGTTGAGATTGATTGATTATTTTTTATTGAAATAGTATCTTTTTATGAATTCTGAATTAGGAATTATATAAGCTGTCTTATACAAATTACAAACATCTATTAACCTAATTAGCATTTAATTATGAAATATTTTGATTCAATGACTGATATAATGCTCCATACTTATAAACCATTCTCAACTTGTTAAAGTGTATTGTATAAGATGTATCACATATTTCAATATTCCTCTGTAGCGTAACTGCAAACAATAGTTGCAGTAAAATGAACGAATAAGCTTCTTCTCACTAACTGGACCTCTGAAATAATGAATCTCCATATTAAGATGTATTCTATCACACAACATGACATTGACATAACACGATACAAGACGTTACAACGCAACACAACGGAGTGTATGTAACATGCCAGCTATGATGAAGAGCATGAACCAGGATCTGCAACTCTTCCTCTGACTTAAGATAAGAAACGCTAGTCAGCAAAAAACGCTTCCGAATTAAAGCAGGAAAAAGGTGTGCAAATTAATAAATTAATTTAATAAAAAAATATGTGAAGTGGTGTCGAATCGAATTTTACAAACCAAACATGTTTCTCTAGAACACTCACGTCTGCGTACCATCACATTGGGAAAAGTATAAATACACGTACGCACACGCATATTCATGCATGCACACACACACCCACACACACATACACACACACACACATAAGCACACAAGACTACATTCACGATTCACCACTGACAATTATTATGCACACGTAAAGTATGGAGTTCACTTAATTTTAGTGCATACAAAAAAAAATGTACAGCTAGATGCGTACAACGTACGCGTAGAAACGCAAACTTGTAAAGCAACGAACAAAAAAGTGAGAAAGTGACATTGTAGGATTGCAGGTGTTGTCACATTTGGGACACGATCTGCTGCATGGTGATAGTGGTTAAATGATGACAAAATATAATATATTTTATGGACTCACTCACTCACTCACTCACTCACTCACTCACTCACTCACTCACTCACTCACTCACTCACTCACTCACTCACTCACACACACACTCAGTTTCTCAGTAAGACTAATTTATATAGCGCCCTGGACACGAACAAAGTATAGAAGAGAAGTACTGCAAAGGTGTTCTGTTGCCGATGAATAGGTAAATATGACGTGCATTTGAAAGAAAGACGGGGTGGTGTGGCGATGCAGTAATTTTAATTTACTATTCGCGAGTTATCTTCAATAATTCAGTAAAAATAAATTTAACGAGAAAATTAAGACGATTGTGTTGCTGGTGGTGACCGACGATGACGATGAACATGACGACGACAGCGGTTATGATGACGAAGCTGTTATTCAAATATGTTGAATGAGAGATAGTTAGTGGGGATGTTAGTGAGTTTTGGATGGAAGAATGATTTGGAGAATTTATCCATTCATTCGTTCGTTCATCCACTCGTTCGTTCGTTCATCCACTCGTTCGTTCGTTGTTCATTTGCTTCATCATTCATCGCCAGGTTAATGCGTGAACATTCATTGAATCATTTGGTGAATGATATTTTTAGACGGACGGTCTGTGGAATATTTTATGAGTGCGTCTGTAAATTATTTCTTGAAATAATTTTGCTGGCGGGAAGAGAAAGGGCAGGTTGGCAGGTTGGCTGGTGGTGAAGAATGGATCGTAATCAGGGTCAGCCACCAAATGTCAATTCCAAAGTTTTGATTTGTGTATGTTTGTGCGCTTGTATGTTTGAGAGTGTATGTTTGAACGTGTATGTGTGTTCGTGTATGTGTGTGCGTGTATGTGTGTTCGTGTATGTAATTGAAGGCCCGTGCCTGTATGTTTGTGGTTTTGTTTGTTTTTATTCATGTGCATGCGTCTTTGTGATGCTCTCTTTTCGTTTTTGATTGATAGAATTTTCACAATTATTGAAATTTTTCAGCAAAATGAATGGAATGGCTAGGGGGTGTGGGGAGAGCGATGTGGATTATAAATGAAATGAGGAGTTTGTAGAAGATGACGATGAGGATGGTGGTAGGGGTGATGATGATAATGACGGTGATGCTGATGATGATGGTGATGCTGATGATGATGGTGGTGGTAGTGATGCTGATGACGAGTGTATGATGTTGACATTTGAACATCGCAACACGTCTAAATGACTTGTAAACAAAAAACTGACAGAAAAATAATTCGGAATGTTTTCATAAATGTTTGAAGCTTTGAAGTTTCACAGGAAAGTAGTTACTGTGTGTATGTGTGCGTGTGTGCGTGTGTGCGTGTGCGTGTGGGTATGTGTAAGTTTGTTTGCGTGTATGCATGTACATGTGTTTAAATTTGTTGGTGTGTGTCTGCATTGCGTGCCTGTGTGTGTATTGCATATGCTGTATAGTTTGTTTATGTTGTAATAATGTTTATATAAAATGTTTATGTATCCGTTACCTGCAAGTGTGATTATCATCTTCCACTTGTAGCTGGCTGTTGGTGTTAGTGATGAGTTTCTTATCGAACTGAGTGCTACGGATCGAACTAAGATCTAAGATGTGTGTAGTTGATTGGAGAATGATGAATGAATGAATGAATGGCAGAATGATGAATGAATGAATGAATAGCAGAATGATGAATGAATGCACGATTGTTAAATGAACGGTGGATGAATGATCGAGTGATTAGTAATTTATAATAGCTTTTGATTGATTAAATGATTGATAAATGCAGAGAAAATGGAATGCAAAGAAAGAACAAGAATGCAGCAGGTAACGAAAAATGCTTTCATTTCGACCGTACCCTCTCATATGAAATGTCACGAAACATTTTTCCATTTGAAGATGCCATGGAAAACAATCCATTGAAATTTAATTTTAAATTGTTTTTGATAAAAAAAAACTGCTCTGTTGTTAACATTTACAACGCTTTTCATTGCATTCCTAATGTGCGTAATGCAGTGCACGATGCAGAGAAATTTGCAGTTTAGGTGCGATCCAATTGATCCAATTATTACGGACAATAATTAATGGATGGATGGATGGATGGATGGATGGATGGATGGATGGATGGATGGATGGATGGATGGATAATGGATGGATGGATGGGTAGATGGACAGATAATGAATGGATGGCTGAATAGATAAATGGATGAAACATCGATCAACCAGCCAATGATATGCAGCTTAAAACAAAATTAAATGAATCAAGAAGAGAATGATTAAACTCCAACAACTTCAACACCACCATCATCATCATTCTCATTCTCATCATCATTCTTATTTTCATCATCATCATTATCAGCAGTAGTAGCAGCAGCAACAACAACAACAACGACAACAACAGAATCAACAAAAACAGCATTACTAACAAACCAACAACATAAACGTTAACAACACATGGTTACTAATACAGTATTGCCAACATAATAACAAGCCATCCGATCAACATTATCTTCTAACAACAACATCAACAACAACATCATCGCAAATGAATCTGTCATCAACAACAACATTACGAACACCAAAGATAATAAAATCAACAATTGCATCTTCAATATCAACAACAACAAAACAACAACAACACTCACACACACACACACACAAACACACTAAAATCACACACATACACACACAAACACACATACATACACAGACACACAGAACGAAAGACACCTCTGATAAGGTATTCCATGCATACGACATTCCTCCTCACTTCATGTTGAAAGATGTTTGTGACCTCAAACTGCACGGTGTGGAATGAATTCAATTTGAAATAATTGATGGACCGATTCGGTGCTGAACCATCAGTTGCGTTGACACACACGCATACATTTTTTCACACATACACCAAACCACACGCACACAATAAACTAAATACCCTCCACGTACGCAACTACTTAGTCAAACACATGCACGTACGTATATATCTTTTAACTGAGACAGACTATTTTCGGCGTTTTACATATTATTTTAATATAATCGCAGATAAAAAATACATACCAAACACACAACACACACATAACATATACATAACACACATACAACGCACAACACACAACACACACAAAACAAGACCATACTTGTAGCGTGATTGTTTGAATGTAATTGGATGATAGAGTGTTGTGCTGGGTGGGGATCGAAACAACATGTGTGTGGCATAATCAGATCAATTTTCTCTGACACAAACACCTTATCCGATATGCAAATTAAAAATAATTGTCGATGGAATTTAAGTGCTCAGTGTAGTAGTTGTATGTGTTTGTTTCGTGTAACGAATGCTAGGCACCGGGCTTGCTTGTTCGTTTGTTTGTTCGTTTGTTTGTGTATGTGTGTATGTACCTGCCTATGTTTCTGCAAAATACGAGTGTGTGTGAGAATCTCAGGTAAATGGTTTGCGTTGTTGTTGCTTCAAAAATTATTATATCATTCATTATATGTACTTGTACAGTTTATATGGCGTTGTATTCAAGTCTTCACGGACGCTTTCAACTTTTCGAACCACAAAGACTGAACTTTCCACACCAACAACACGGCGTTCGTACACAACTATCCAGACCACACAACGTACAAAGCAGACAGACACATGTATGTATACACGCGCTATCACTGCGTCACGCACGTGTGGCGAATCGTAGTCTTCTTAAATCAAATTTTCATCGTGCACTAACCGCAAATAAGCCGAAGTTATCACGCTGTCTGAGACTTACTTTAGAAACTTGCAAACGAATCGATGTGTAGTTTTTTTTTAATTTGTTGATGTGTGTTTGTTGAAGGGGCTACGATTAAGGTAGGATGCATTGATGCATTGATGCATGCAGGTCTGTTGAATAATTCGTTGAATGCATGCATGCATGCATGTGTTTGTATGCGTTTGCTGGAATGGAAGAAGGAGATAATGATGAGGAGGAAGAAAATAAAGAAGAAGATGATGATGATGAAAGAATAAGGGGGACGAAGATGATTTTCTAGAGAAAGAAAATGATAAAAAATGGAAAGTGGTGATAAAAGAAGGACGACGGAAGAGGAAGAAAAAAAAAAGGATGGGGATTTGATGTTGAGGATGCAGAAGAGATGGAATGATCAGACGGTCCTTGCAATCTTCGCCTCTTATCTCAGGAGTCATCCATCTTGCCTGCTTCAACGAACAATACATCTTCCTTATACAAATAGCGCACCGCCCCGCCATCCTACCGTTTCATCGACCTAAATTTATAAAATAAAAAAACTCATTCCCATCATTTGAGTTCAGTTTAATTTTCGTTTAATTCTTGTTTAATTCTTGTTTATTTATGTTTTTTGAAAAATTTTAAATTTTAACAATTGTGAGACGACGATGAATTTGTTTATATGGGTTTATTTGTGCTTAGGTGATTGATAAATGTTATTTAAGGAATTTGAAAATTGAACGAGCAAATGATATCAAGTGAATACTTTCAAAAAGAAATAATCACAGCAAAGTTCATCGTGGCTGGTCATTTATGTCAGATGTCATGGTCTTGCAGTATCTGTGGAGTGAAAGATGTTTTGATCATTATTTTATTTTCCATGCTTACTAATTTTCCGTTACAACTCCGTTATCATTTTATAATTACCGTCTCGCATGTTGTAACGGCTCCGGCATCTGTTTGATTCTAACTTCTTGAAGAATAATCAAAACGTACACACACATATGTTACATGTACGCACATGTGTTATCGCTGTTGCTTGATGTATGCGTGTGTGCATACATTTGTATTTAATGTAGTCAATATTGATTGGAATATGCATCAATGCAATAAATATCCATAAATCTCATCCGGAGGGCATTTATTCTAAAATGAAAGAACGAAAAATTAAACAAACAAGTGAAAAATGGTTTTAGCAGATTTTATAAAATTTCCGCATTGTCAAGTTTTGTAACATTTCCAAGAAATGCGTTTTAAACATGGAATCATGCATGTAGACACGTACACACACACACACACACACACACAGACGCGCACACACGCACGCACACACAGACACACACATGTACAAATGGCCATCGATGAAGGAATCAATGAAGAAAGGATTGTTTGCTTGTAAAAGATACAGCGGTCCTGCACATAAATCATGTTTCATCGTTTGTTGCGCAACACGCATGCACCTAGCAGAGACACACGCGCGTGTACGTAGGAGGACTATTGAGAGGAACATTACAAAACTCTTCTTAAAAATAAGAGATAAGGAGAAATAAAAAATATAAATTGGAGATGAAGAGGAAGAGAGAGAAGATGTGTACATACATTGCATACGAACTGACTGACAACCACGAACATGTAATGGTAGTTTGAAATAAAGGACAGTTTGCTAGGAGTGCACATGCAACAATATGCAGCACATCAACAACATGTACGACAAGTTTATAATGTACAAACAACAACAGCATACACAAAGCAACACACATGTACACAACAACATAAAGACAACCACGCACATGCAACAACATACAAATAACAACAACATAACATACAAACAACAAGACACATGAAACAACAACAGCATACACAAAACAACATACATGCACACAACAACACACATGCAACAACAACACACAAGCAACAACAATATACAAACAGCAAGACACATGGAACAACTACAGCATACATCAACAACATTTCGTACAAACTAACTTTAAAGTTTCATGTATGAGCATTCACATAAACGGATCAGTTTTTGACAGGGCTATCGCGTTATAAAGACAAAAATTTAATCAGGTCTTTAATAATAATTTTATCAAGTTTTTGAAAATAAAATCTTAAAAAATCTATCTTATAACTACTAAAAACGAAACCCATTTTCGTGGTTTCCCTAATGTTCAATCGTGTATGTGTGTCATACGTGTGTTGCGGCTGATGATGGCGAAACATTTTTTAATATTTTTTGTTCAAATATTTTTAAAATTTCAAACAGAGTCGTGAAAAATGAATTAAAATCTTAGCGATAAAATGAACAGAACACGCATGGAATGAAAATATTTTTAAAAAGATAAAATATTTAATTTCTTTGGAGTTATTTTTTTTACAGAAATTATTTAAAAATTGAATTGAGTTAAAAATTAATCAAACGTTCTCAACGCTATAAGGGGGGACGTCTGCTTTTTGTAAGTGTGAGTGGATGGATGTGCTGATGATCGTTGCTGAATGCTACTACTGCTGCTACTACTGCTACCACCACCACCACTACTACTACTACTACCACCACCACCATCACTACTACTACTACTACTACTACTACTACTACTACTACTACTACCACCACTACTACTACTACTACTACCACCACTACTACTACTACTCAGAATAATAATAATAATAATATTTAAAAGCGTTAGTTATTATGAACAACAACAACAACAATAATATTAATAATAATATTTCTACTACGATGATGATGTTGATAACGTGATTAAAGATTAATCGTCGTTGGTAGTGAAGAAGAAGATGATGGTGATAATGATGATGATGATGAAAATTTGCGGAAAAAATGGATCTATAAAAATGAACGTGTCACCCAATGTGTTCAGCGTCAGTTTTTTTAATGCATTTATGATCATAGCCATTATAATTATTATTATTTTTATTATTATCATTATTATTCTTAACAGATGACGACTAATGGAGTGATGATGACGACGACGATGATGACGATAATAGGAGAAAGAAGATGATATAGCAAAATGATAAATAATAATGATGATGACGTCAAATGTTTACGATTAATTAAACGTGGCAATGATGAATGGTTTGTACAGTAAATAAGATGATGACGATGATGATGATGATGACGATGATGATGATGATGATGATGACGATGATGATGATGATGATGACGATGATGATGATGATGACGATGATGATGATGATGATGACGATGATGATGATGATGACGATGATGATGATGATGATGATGACGATGATGATGATGATGATGATGACGATGATGATGATGACAGTTTCCTTCATCATCAGAATCAGCACCATCAACATGAGCAAGAGCAGAACTAATCAAATTGAAATATTAAACAGGCATTGTCCTTATCTCTTTCCAAAGCAATTAAAACACGCTCTATCTGCATGTATGTTTATTCATATCAATATATTTATATCTATATGGAAATAAGCATTCACACACACAAACAAACAAACAAACACACACACACACACACAAACTACCCACACACATAATCAAACAAAATTTATTTAATAAATTTTAAGCGGATGAACAAACAAATTGAGCGGTGACAACGTTCAACCATTTATTTTGTTTATAAAGTTGGAAATCAAGTACGTTGAATGAATGAACGAATGAACGAATGAACGAATGAACAAATGAACGAATGAACGAATGAACGAATGAACGAATGAACGAATGAATGAATGAATGAATGAATGAATGAATGAATGAATGAATGAATGAATGAATGAATGAATGAATGAATGAATGAATGAATGAATGAATGAATGAATGAATGAATGAATGAATGAATGAATGAATGTTAACAAGTTAATTCATTAATGATTGAAAGATAGATTGATTAATAAAGTGAACAAACGAATGAATAACTAAAACGCGAAGATGTATTTTATAAATATCTAATTCAGGTTTCTGTTCGATGTTTTCAATGGCTGATATTATTTTTATCCTATTATTTTTTTTAAACCAGCAAACCCTCACCTATGTATTACAACAGGGGGTGAGCAAACTACGGCCCGTGGACAGACTCGCGAGGCCTTGTTCGCCAAAAAAGATCGTCAGGTAGACACTATGACCAAAAAAGGAAGCCACAAATCTTAAAAAACTTTTTTCCCGGGTCGAAAACGATTGCTTTTAAGTACATATGCGGCTCTTCAAAGATAAAATAGTTCTCAATGCGGCCCTCACAGCAAAAAGTTTACCCACCCCTGCATTATAACCAAATCAATCGATGTCTCGAAATGTAAAAAGATTTTTTTAATAGCAATTAAAAACCGTTCCAGATGACATATTGTCTCATTCTTTGATAGTTGCCAAGCAAAATTTATATTTAAAAAATGATGACTTTTTGACGAAGTTCTGCAAAATGTTTTCATATTAAGCAAATACAAAAAGGACTTTTATTCATAAAACTTCTTTGAACATTTTTAAAGTGTATTAGAATTGATTAATAGATAAAAATACAAAAAACTAAATGTTGATTAAACATACTTTCATGCAAATACACACAGGCATATATACAGATACACACAAACAGACACACAAACACAAAGACAGACAGACAGACAGACGAATAGTGTTTCATAACGTAGAATTATCTCACAAGGTTGTTTGTTCCCACCAAAGTTATTTTAATTTAATTGTCGGCCTTTTAAAAGATAAAAGTAGTGACGAATTAAAATATTTAGTAGGGAGTACATTTTTGTTGTTTCTTCCCGTCTGCGGCCAAATTTTTACATTCAGTTACTCTACCGGAAAAACTTTATCTGTCCTTTTCAAATTTGTCCTCACCTCATGAATACAACACGCAGGTAACCAGACTGACAAATCTAACGTTTAACGATTTAATGGCTTCTAAAGAATGCCCAATTACACATGTTACTTGGACTATGATACACAGTAGTAGTAGTAGTAGTAGTAGTAGTAGTAGTAGTAGTAGTAGTAGTAGTAGTAGTAGTAGTAGTAGTAGTAGTAGTAGTAGAAGAAGAAGATGAAGAAGAAGATGAAAGAATGCGGCTTGATGTCGATTCATCATAAGGATCCTTCAAACAGAACACAACATTTAAATCATTCACACAACACACCATTGAATTCTTTGCAACACAACACACGCAGACACACACGCACGCTTAACAACGCACACACACACAAACAAACACACAAACACACCGACACACGTGTAATGGAAATGCATATTTTTTCTATAATTAAAAGTTTTTTAAACATAATTATTAATGATTTAAATCTCAAATTATATTAAGTCATACAAAATTAGAAGGAAGCATGTATACAGAAATCAAATGCTCGTTCTACAATATGAAATATTTGTACATGAGCGAACGTAACGTGTTTTTGTTCGTTCACTTGTTTGCTGGTTCATTCTTTTTTTTTGAACAATTTATTTCAGAAGCGAAAGGGCACACAAATCAAAATGGCACTCCAAGACAGCAAAAATTATGGCCAAAATTGTGTAACTTTAAAATGACAACAAGCCTGAATGAGTTATTTAATACACTCGCAAACTGCAAATAACATTAGAAGTAGCCGCAAACACAGACAACAAACTGAAAAAATACACACAGAATATTACAGACAAAATTAAAAATTCTGAAGAAAAGAACATAATGTTGCTTCAATGTTTCGCTCCATAATTTTAACAATTTCATGCATTTTCCTTGCTAGCAACATCCCTAATTTTAAATAAATGATGAAAATTTGCTCTTGAAGAATGATTGCTGCTCGTCACAGGAATTAAATAAATGAAGCTGTCTGTACATATCGTTGAACAAATAACTTCCTTGCAAAACGCATATTTCTAATTATTTCAAGATCTTAAAAATTATAAAATATCCATTAGCCCATTTGGTTGTTCATTTGTTAATTTGTTTGTTCATTTATTTATTTGTTCATTTATTTGTTTGTTCATTCATTTGTTTGTTCATTTATTTGTTTGTTCATTTTGTTTGTTTTGTTGTTTGTTTGTTAGTTCGTTCGTTTGATCATTCGTTTTTGTTTGTCAATTTGTTTAACAGTTCGATTACATATCTATTTCTTTATTTCTGCATCTGGCAAGAGTATTTCTTCTATATGAATTTATTTATTTAGGTTGATTAGCAAATATTTGTTCATCTATGACAAACCCATACTAATAAAAGGCTATTTGGCAACGTGATTAACGTTTCAGCTGACTAAAAGTGCATCGAAGGCAACCACATCATCACCACACCATCACTAGAAAAAATCATCAACAACAACAACAACAATAGCAACAACAACAGCGGCAACAACAACAACAACAGCAGCAACAACAACAACAACAACAGCAACAACAACAGCGGCAACAACAACAACAACAACAGCAGCAACAACAAAAACAGCGGCAACAACAACAACAACAAAAACAGCAGCAACAATAGCAACAACAACAACAACAACTGTTGCCTAATAACATCAACGAATTGCGTTAAATTTTGTTCAAACATAATGCAAACGAATTTTTTA